GAAATAAGAGTTCACTAGAAAACAAACCAATTCTGAAAGAGATGCAAGTTGTTTTAGTTTGAAGAATGAATATCTTTATAATTTTTCCAATTTACAAATCTATTACCAGCTTTGTTCAGCAGTAGCTTTGCCTCGCCGTAAGAGTCTTCCCCGTAAATTTCCCGCACACAAATTATGGCCGATAATTTACTGCAAAACTTTGCACTTTAACACACTACATAGCAAGGTTGTTAAAATCGCACCAATTACTTTACGAAACCCGAAAAAAAAAAAGATTTCAAATGAAAGCGAAAAAAAGCTGACTGCATCTGCAAAATTTGCCAACATACCTGAATTTGATAGGATTCTCTTCCTCGTCTTGGATGTGCAGCTAAAACTTGGAATGATTCTTGTTTATTCCTGAAAGGCGACGAATGTTTTATTAATGTCCCACCAGTTCGGGTGGCATAAAACTAAATATTATTCAGGCTTATGATTGGTCGTCACCTTACCATCCTGCCATAGTGATTCAACTGGACTAAAACAAATTGATAGCATCCCATAGTGTGGCCATTGTTCCGCAAACTCTGCTCTCGACACGACAGATCTGTCAAAATTATTACAACTTTCCTTCTATTTCCTACTTGCAAAAAAGCATGATCAATTTCTTGCAGTTTTAACAAACAAAAAAATGCGTCAGAATGATTATTTCGTTAAGGTTTTCTAGTCGTTTGGTGAAAAGAAATTCGTAGTGGATGCATTCCCATGAGATGAATAATTTCTTTGTTTGAAGAACGTGTCGCTTAATGACCTCTGATGGAAATTCTCAATTAAGACAAAGGACAAAAGTGACTTTACGCTGGTGGTAAAACGTAACTCAATTTTCTATTTGTTCTTTTTTGTGTTAAGAACCGTAAGAAGTGTCGGGAAAAATAAAACAACTTTTCTGATCAGGAATTAAAAGTGACATTGCTTCTCTTCTCACGCCAGAGTGCTAAAAGATCTTTTCACTGCGACAGGATCCTTTATCCTCAAATTAAAAAAAACGAAAACATAAACAAACCGTAAAATGGATTTACGAAACTAAATTAATGGAAGTAAGCCAGGGAGATTTGCGTGCCAAGAGCCGTGTTTTCAATTTTGATGTCTGTCTTCAATGGCAGGACGTTGATTCGACTCCCATTAAGAAACCTCGTCTCACACTGAGTGATCGTCCCTTGTATTCGAGTTTTGCAGAATTGGCGGTCCACGGTGCTAATTTATCATATTTTATCACAAGACAAAAAAAAAAACCCTTTTCAGACATGCTTTTTTAGCATATTTAAGGAATTGCTTGTTTTTAATTACTTAATTCTCGTGTTACAACAACCATAATCTTTTCTGATACCAAAAGATTATTTCAAAGCATGGGCCAAAATCTGAATTATATATTTTAAGTTTGCGTTTCTTCACCTCCGAGGAGGTAAACCTCTCACCAGAATTTCCCGAGCGAATTGGAAAAAAAACTTAAGTAAACCACAATGATTCTCGCAAGCGAGCTGCAATTGAAGCAATTACAGAGAAGAAGTCTGAAAAAAATTCAGTTTTCGACGACATTCGAACTCATGCCTCCCAAGTACTAGTTTGTACCGCTACTATAGACGGAGAACGAAGCCATTCGTGACGAAAGTGGCGCAGTTTAGAGGGTTCTTCTTTCACGAAGAGGAAACTGATCATACTGTTTTGTTTGTTTCAGTGTTTGTTTGTAAACGAAACAAAATTGATTATCATCCGCATGTCGAAGATTATTTTTATCATCGAAAATTATGATGAGGAAAAAATTACAGAAAAGGTAAATTTCAATTTGAAAGATATACTATTCCGTGGGAACCCTACTGGTTTTTTTTCTCCACCAAATTAGCCAACATTTTAGAAGTGTTCTGTACAATTACACTAATTGACAATCTTGATATATTTATCTGACACATCTCGAGATGAACCCACAACAAATTTGAAATTATTATTTTACAACCGAATCAGGTGAGCAAATTGCCTTTGCTGGCATAACCGCCATTTGCAAAAGATGCTTTAGAAAATACGATATCAGTTATAACAGTTGAGACTCCTTTCTTCTTTCGGGACCATCGGTTTCTGTATCATAGTGCACGCATAAGTTTTCGCCGTTAGCATCGGTTAGATGATTTTTATTTCCCATAAACTTTGACTTTTGTCTTCTGCATTCCTGCGCCTTTTATTTCAGTCTGCTCAGCTTCCTTTTCCAACTGCAACATGTTTTCTGCACTTTTCAATTGCGCCATGTTCCCTCGCTCTTTCCACCCGCGACTTGTTTTCCCGCGCTTTTCACCGGATCCATATTACTCTTCCTATCCGCCTGCTACATGTTTTCGCACGCGTTTCACCTACAACATTTTATGGGTGGCATGCGTACCGACACCTTTTCAGCAAAGATCATCTTCCCGCTTTTTTTGCTCTGCTTTCTGATTGGCTCACTATCATCCAATCTCTATCGAGAATGGTTCTGTCTCTGGAAATGAAGGACATTTTCATGCTATTTTCAAGCGTCCTTGGAAACAGTACCAAGTTTCAGAGGTCAAATTGCTGTGAAACTGGGTACCTGAGGTTGACTCAGATGCTGTGTTCTTCCGTTCTTGATCGTTTTGTTCGTGATTAAACTTGGCGTCGAGGGGGCGCTGCCGTTAAACTTGCGGAAAGACTGACCTGCAGAATCGTATATTCAAGATATCTTATCATTAAAAACCCAGTGAGTAAAGAACAGAAAAACGGTACGAGCGAGGAGTAAATATTGAAGATTTGGTTTCAGGGGAGATTGAGGGGCTTTGCATTTCGGTAAGAAAAAGTTTTTGCTCGTCAGATCGAGCTGGAGAGAGAGGAAATCAACATTCGGCAAACAAGCGGTCAAACGTGAGGCACGCTAAAGGAGATCAATTCTGGTCGGCCGCGCGCCAATCTCCTGAACAAAATTTCAGAGAAAGGCATTGGACTCGACCGTTGTCTAGCAAAATAGGCATATGATAATTGAAAAAGTTCATAGGAATCTTTTAAAAGGGAAGAGAAATGTGGAAAATGAAAACTCGAACACAGAGCTTAAACATGTGCGGGTATCTTTTTGATTCGACATTTTGTTTTGGGCTTTACTACAAAAGTTATTCGCTTTCAAACACCGTGACTTATCACTGGATTGTATGGTTGTTTGTTACTCGTGTGAGCCAACTTGGTTCTGACAAACTGAAAGCGCGCTTCGTCACAACGTTCGCACGTACGCAGACGTTTGACCGCTGTATTCATTCAGCGAAGACTTACCATTGAAAACAATGTCTGCCTCCGGTACATTTAAGTCAAAAGACTTTGATCTTGAGCGCAGTCTGGAATTGCTCCTGATATTCTTCTCGGGTTTGAATAACACAATGTAGACTTTTGGCAAGAAGATAAAGATTAAGATTGTTGTAGCGCTGATAACAGAGCTGAAAGCCAGCGCAATGGCTTGGAATCCTCCTCCTATTCCATAATACACCGGAACGAAAGCGATCCATATTACGCATGTTGTGTACATGCAGAAACCAATAAATTTAGCCTCGTTAAAATTCAACGGGGTTTTACGAGTTCTGAACGCGTAATATGTGCAAAATATTATAAGGACGGCATTGTAGCCGAACAAGCTTACCATTCCAACAGTACTTATGTTACATTTGATAAGTACAAAGTCTTTTTGCTCGTATGATGCAATGGCCTTCGGCGGTCGAATCAAGAGCTCTGTGATGGCCATGGCGAGCTCCGGAGCAATTATAACGGCAGTTATGAGAAGTTGAGACTTTGGGCTAATGAAAGAAGGTGATTTTATCCCGCTGAAAATGCGAGCAATTCTATTCGTGCGTACTAATAAGGAAGAATAACACACACAGAAACACAAACCAATTCCAAATCTTTGAATCGCGCAGACAACTTTGCCTGGATTCGAAACCATCACGAACGCAAAACTGTAGCAGAGTAGTATTCCAGCAAGAAGGACAATGGATAATTCGTGTCCTGAAGCTTTTATAAGCGGTGTTTGAGCGAATTTAAGAAACACAACACAAACAGTGACAGTGGCAAGAATTCCTAGAGACGCAAATACGCCAACTACACCGATCCACACTTTGTTGAGATATACTTCATGTAAAGGTTCGCAGCCGTCGAACGTAGCATTTGGCCTAGTTCCCTTGTCACAAGTCTTGCACGTGAAGTCATTTTCAACGAAAGAGTCTGCGTCACAGTCTTCGCATGTCCAGCAGCAGACCGTATCGCGTATGCGCCTTATAGCGTGGGGTCCACAAGGCTTTCCACAATGTGATTCAAGGTAGTTATTTGCTCTGTAAAGTGCGTGAGAGTCCATCGTCAATTTTCCCTCGACCCAGCTTCCCAGTTTCGTATAGAAAGCACTGTAAGAGTTTCTAAATGCGTAGAAGTCGTACTTTCCAGCACTGTCGCCGTTGGCATCGAATTTCACCAGCCCAGTTGTGCCATTAAAAGACACGTTCCGCAAATACCACAATAGCACAGAGCGATCCAATTTCTTCATGGCCGAGCAGAGGCCTGGTACTGGGCCGCAGATGTTTCGGTGCATAGCATGAAGCGCGTGCGCAAATGAAAACACCGCATCGATGACAAAAGGAACTTTAGCATCGAATCTGTCCAGAACTGAAAAACGATTCTCTGGGAAAAGACAACGAGGATTTCCTGACAACGGGCCTTTTCCAAATTTGCAATTGAAACGCTTCTCCCAGTATTCTTTAAACCAAGGGTTTCTTGAGTTGTTCAGTGGATTCAGCTTCGAAAAATAATTGTAAAATGGCTTTAATTGCGTGTCAAACGTTTGAAATTCGATGGTAATGGCGCCATCAGCGACATCTTCCAAACCTTCAACATGACGAAGTCTTGTCCCCCAAAAATCACTTGCAAGCCAGATAAACCGCTTCTTCTCGCCTCGATTCTGCGCTCTTTTAGCGGCTTGGAGCATTGAACGAAGATCTTCAGCATTGCAAAACATCACAACAACGCGAATATCCTTCTCTGTAAGAAATCGTTCTATGATCTGGTCATATTCCTCCTCAGTAAAATCTGGTTCTAATTGCCGATGGTCAGCAATACAAACGTTGCTCATAACCGAGAACTTTTCCAAGATCTCCATTCCCTGTTCACCATAGCTGCCGCGCGAATGAACCGCGAAGACCGCTGACCAGTTCATGAATGTAATGATGTCTATCATGGCTCGCGCTTGATATGAGTCCGGGGGGACAGTTCGCACGAAGTATTCAAACCTGTCCTTGTCGCTCAACTCAGCGCTTGTTGCAGCATAGCTGACTTGCGGGACTTCAAACAGACGAAGGAGGCTGGCCACCTATAATGCAAATGATACCACTGTTATAACCTCAGTGTTGTCACAATATGATTATTACAATCGTAGAGACACCACTTATAACCCAGATAGGGGCTGTAAACTTCCCCAAACAGTCGTGTTACCTGTACTGTAGTAATGCTGTACGATGGCCCCACCACCCCCACCAAAGCAGCTTTTTTCTTCACCTCAGGGGTCCCTACCAGGGAACTGCATATTTCTTCCCTATTGGTCAGTGTACCAAGCACAAAGTTCAGGCACTGTTCCAAAGCAGTGTTTACTGTTCCACAGTCGTCGCGAATTTCCATGCCCAGGGTTATGTTTGGGAGAAGAGTGCTGTTTTTGTTCACCTTGAAGAGAAAAGAAAAGTGTTGTTTTACGTTTCAATACAGTAGGATGCAAGTTTTAATTATAGAAAGTGTTGATTGCAATATACGTCATGTTTAGTTTGCCCTACCTACGCGGTACTGGGTTTAGTTTGCTTATTATGGTCTAGACCATATGCTCGAGTTTGTTGTTTTCGCGTTTCGCTTTTGTCACGTTTTTCCTTCAGGCTCATAAATCTTGTAAGCAGTTTTTCGTTTCGTTGAGTTTCCTTAATTTGAGTGTTATAGTTTCCCTTTTTCTTTTAGTCAAACCATATCTTACGAGTCATATAATAAAGATTACACGCATTGACAGATCAAGTCGAATATTTATTTACTGAAAGTTTGAGCCCAATAATAGGAAAACGTTGACTACAATATCAGCAAATCAGAACTTAAAAACACGTCACGTGAACGGCGCTTGGCGCTAAAGGCGGGAAAGCAAGCGAGACCAAGTCGACAATGTCCGAACAATTGACGATTCCTCGAGAGGAACTAATTTTTGGAAACCTTTTCGAAAGTGGTAGCTCCTTCAGATGCAAGAAGCGTTTTTTTGACATTTACAAATATGATTTGTCAAGGTGCCACGCGGTGTACGTTATTTGAAAGCCTGATGACACAGATACCGACATACAATGAAAATATTGAGTTTGAAATGATTCCAAATATCAACAACCTCATGCTGTGCGTCACAGCATGACGTCACAGAAAGTAGAGACTCCTGAAGTTTAATACGATCTGTATCGAAAAGAAAAAAAAATATCCTCCTGTTTTGGTTGAAAAGTTTTTGAGAAAATTATGTGATCATAAAAGATTTAATGGAACGCTAGAAAGTGTTCGATTTGATATTTGTTATTGACGACACAACTAAATAGCAAATATTATAAAATTACTGAGGTCGGTTTGCTTTATATAATTTTGTCTACCAAATCAGACGAACGATTTACAAATACTTCAAAACTGATCCAATTATCAACGATGACGTTTTTATCATTAAAATTCAAATCGATCTAGAAACTCGATTCACTACAAAAAAGGTGTCTTTCAGCTTTTTTTTTTTTTTACAGAAAAAAAAAAACGAAACTAACGTTTATAAATCCTTCTGCCGTGCATTATTGAATTGTACCATTCAATAAGCGGATAAAAGTATCAGTTAAAATTGTTAGGAAAAAAATGCATATTTAGAGTGACATTGAAAAGATTCATGGACCAATATAGTTCTTAAAAACCAAAGGATGATGTTTTTATTGAGCACAGTCAATGATATAAAGACAGGAATAGGAATAACTATGTACAATATGATTGTCCGAATGATTGCATAATAAGATCGAATACTTATTTAGCTTAAAAACGTCCCGTGCCCGCTCTAGACTTTTTCTTTCCATCTTACTACAACCCAGAACCAGATTAACATTCCTGTAAGCACTACGTGTAAAAAAAAACTGCTGTCTTGGAGAAGACTTTCGACACAACAATCGATGGATTTAAATTTTTTGCGACATCCAGTGAACAGAGCTAAATATAGATCCTTGATTACCCAAATTTCAGGGACACGATATGTGTAAATTATCGAGATCTCGGTCCTTACATTTTATTTTATCAATTCGAAATAGTACGAATTAATTGTCGTGAAAGTGGCAGATAGCTGGGATCCAAGTTTGACTGATACACCACAAAAAATATTCACATTCGCTGAACGCGCAAGTACAACACCAAGGCAACTTTTAATAAACATTTAAATGAAAATAGAAATTTACCTGATCCATTGCATACAACATGGCCTCCACACGGTGAATTCCGACCTGTTCATTTAGTTCGCCGCACAAAGATGATCCGTTGCCTTTGGCGTGAACTGGGAAAAGTCCTCCCAGGAAAACGTCGCCCTCAGTTCTCGCCACTTGTGATGCTGAAGGGCCCTCCTTTGTCGGAGTCGGGCTGGAGAGAGCACCGAACTCATGAGAATTATCTGGTTCATAAGTATTCGTGGTGTATACAAAGGTGAATAAAGCGAGTGATAGGATGAATCGAGGAAGCACGAAAGACTCTTTAACAAGCAACATTGAAGCCTTTAAGCTTTGTAAGAGCAGTTAATCTTCTCGTGGTGTGAAGTTCTTTTGTCAGGTATGACAACAAATATCTGCAATTGTAAAAAGGTGAAATTAGAATTGAAATTACGTCCGGATGCCACAGCATGATAACTTGTTGAACAATTCAATTTAGCAGTCGGTAAGTGCGATACCTACCCACCCACTTGTTCAGAGGGAAGATACGAAGGGCAACGACAGAATTTTTAAAAATCGTACTTTTGCTCGCAAAATATTGCACGGTTTAATTCTTAATGCCAGAAATGTAGTGTACTTTGGCGTCTTTCCACCTTCAAGTGTCTCTACACATATCATCTATTTGTCGGACACCGACAAATCGAGTATCTAGCACTGACACATATGACATGTAGAGTCTTCGGATTTGCGCGCACGAAAGACATTAGTCTTTTGCGTTTTTAAAGGGTGCATTCATTAAGTCTCCCCTCCCTTTAACAACCTGGCTACGCTTCTGCTACAGGAACGGAGGCGTTGGAACAACATTGATGTCCATAAAGATCGCGCGAGAAAACAGGTGCTTGACGTCGCCTCGCGCGGCTCCTTTTCTGCACTTGAGGTTCCGCCACTTTCCTATGCCTTTTTAGTGGTAGAAATGCGTTTGCGTGCCCTCGCTGCCCCATGTTACACACTGAACGCCTAGGACCCTCTTCATGATAAATCTCGGCAGCTTGACGAGTCCAAAGACAACCAAGCGTCATGTTTTAAAATTTAAATCTCGCAATTAATAGAGCGGAACTCAACTCACAAACGTATCCATTCTCTTTCGTCCCTTTTGCTTCCTGATGCTAATGTATTTTAATTTACAAAACTATCAATACTTCCATCTTGGATGCAAACACGCCGATCAATTCAAAAGACAAGTTACAGGAACGGTAATTACAAAGACTTTCTTAAAATCGGTCCTTGGAACAGACTAGGGAGAATTCATTCGGCGGTGTGACAAGTTCTACTTTAGGAATGAAAAACTATTGCATAAGCTTGCGAGCAAAGACCGGATAGCTTTCAGAGAGGCAATTATGGCAAATATACTCATATACAGTAACTGCAAACGTTTCGTTGAAAAGCAAATATTGGTACGCTTATCATTTTCAATAAACAAATCAAAAAATGCAATTATTTTTGTAAAAGAAATACATTACTCTGGTAGAAAATTATAAACAACTTTGAAATGCCACTAACTTGATTTCGTAGACGATAATTCGCTCACTTCTTCTGCAAACCGTTCGCATTGCTCAAAATCTAACATCACATCACATTTCAACATGTGTCGTTTCAGCTGAAACCTGCTTTGTCTGGTATTTTTCTGTTGTTAGAAGGAGGTTGTTATTTGAATAGCTACCAAGTGCTTTCCTTCAGTTTCCTCCTAGGATGTTTCTTAGACAAACAATCTGAATGGAACAGACGGAAAGCTCTGCTGGAGTCGATCTTCGGATATTTCAGAAATTTAACAACTTTCGAATAGGTATCATTTGTGCGATTTACACTATAAATAGCTCAGAAACACAGCATCAAAATAAACTGTTCTTTTGTGTTGCGTTACGGCCGGAAACACATGAGAATTGTCGCCGTAACAGCTTCAAAAAAGGCCTTTCAATCTGAATCAAGCGGACCTCGTTGGCTACCGTTCACTAAAGTCGAAAAGGGCAATTAAATGTTTGGAAGTTGTGTAAATACACCTTTAGTAACAAAAGATATAAGCTGATTAGTTAAAACGACTAACCTTGAGGTCCTTGAAGCAGTTTTGTGCGTAGATATGTTGCTGATAAATAAACCAAAATCATCGAATGTTGTGCTCCTTATAACACACAAACTTAAAGTCGAACAGACGATAAGGAAACCTTTTTAACTCGCCACGATTCAATGTTTACTTATTTGAATACTCCAGTGCTCGGAGAAATACAATCTCCTCTGGTCTTCAAGATGCGATCTAAAAAATTGGCTTAATACGACCTCTATATCATATCATGTTTTCCTGAACGGCACGCACGACAAATTGTGTTTCCGGTGTAAGGCCAGCGTAAAATTTCCCATTATCTCTCACCATTAACTCGAATTTACTCTGCGTACCTCGAATGAACGAAGATAATTACGAATTCAATGGACTTTGCAAAGAAGTCTTTCTAATGATAATTAGCCCAGACTTGAACGTGTTGAGTGGACAAGCCCTTTGTATTATTCTTCAAATATGTCCCGCTAAGTACTTCCGCTGACATCTCAAATTACTAACAGATTATAACTGCAATTTTTCACTTATCACTTTGAATTCGAGGAATAACTATAACAAAACGATTTTCAGTGTCCAAGCTAATAAAAATGAATCACCTAATTACAGTATATTCCTTATACGTCGACAGTTAAGTGCGATAAAGGTTTGCAGAAAGTAAATTTACTGTTCAGAGCTTTCTCGGTTTTGACACTTGTCTGTTTTCACAAAGTTCTTCTGTTTTCTTATTGTCTCTAAACAATGTGATATTTATTACACGAGAGATGAAAACGTCCTTTATGTGTCACTTAATGCAGTCTTAAAAAATAAATCAATGCTCTCTGGACAGTGAAAAATAATAATAACAAATAGTGATTGTGAAATAAATTTTCTTTTTACTCAGAAATATTTTCGCCAAATAATTAAAAAAAAACTGCGGCAAGCTTATTAGCTTATATGGGCCATATTGAAGCGAATTCAAATCTCTTTTTCGATTTTCCTGAAAAAATAAGTTATTAGGTTAGGAGCCCTGATCAGGCTTATAGCTTTATCTCTGTCTTTAGATGAAATCAAAACAATATTTTCCCTCGACAAAGTTGTCCTTTCCACAGAGTGAGGGAAAAAAAATAGAAAATCAGATCTCGGAACTGTGCGGAATCGTAGAGATCCCCTTTCCGGTGATGTGGAGTGTTAAGTTATTGTATGCTTCAAATCAATAAACAGACGCTTTAATAAAACGTTATTTAGACGTTATTGCAAAACTGATTTTCATCTTAACTAAGTTTTCTTTTACTTTTGAGGTTTGCAGAAGTATGTTTGGAGTGAAATATTCCGTTCCACAGAGTCTACTCGGACTTTGAATTTTGCAGGATAATGGAGTTCGTGTTTGGAGTTTGGACACAAGTGTCCCATTTTGGATTTTGGACACCAGTGTCCGATTTTAGATACCAATGTCCGATTTTGCATTTTATACACTAGTGTCCGATTTGGGATCTTGGACACAAGTGTCCAATTTAGTATTTTGGGCACTAATCTCCGATTTTGACGTTTGGACACTAGTGCTCTATATTGGATTTGGACACTAGGGCTAGGGTGTGGTTTTGGATTTTAGACTCCGGTGTCCGATTTTGGATTTCGGACACCGATTTTGGGTTTTGGGCACTCCTGTTCGATTTTGGATTTTGGACTGAAACTTGCGTTATGCTGAGCTTCTAAGAGACGCTTATTTTTATCTAAGTTTCTTATTTGCTCATTGAGATACAAAATATCTTTTCGTCCCTTCGTGATTGGCTGTTGTGAGTACAGTACTTTGGTTTTGATGCAATGACACGAAAGTTAGGTCTTAACGATCAATAAGATTTTCGAAAAAGAAGGGAAAAGTTTTTCTTGAGAGTGAATTCACATGGCAGACCTATCACAAAGTGTGGGTTCAGGAAACTTTCTTTTTTCCCTAAAAAAACTAAACATAGTATGACTTTAGCAGTATCAATATTTCGAATCGTTTCATATTTCTTAGATAAGAGGCATTCCGAAAACATTTGTTTCCAGGATAATTTAAAAAATGCAGTGACTGACTCTTACTTTCTCTACAAATGTGAAATGAAACGTCAACAAGCTGAAGGAACAAAGCAACGATTTGGTCAGCGGCTGTCTCTCAAATTGACTTTTGGTGTTGGGTACATAGTGTACATACTCAAAACTCACTTATGACTTGAAAAAGGATGCAAAATGCTTTTATTTTGCCCAACTTGTTCGAATGTTTTGACTGTAGAGGAAGGAACTGGGCCATCCTCGTATAGGTTTGCTTGTCAAACGTGTCCTTATGTTTACAACATCACAAAAAAGGTGACGTATTCGTTGTTATCTTTCTGACATACTCATTGGTAAAAATATTCCTACCTTCAAGTGCATTTACACCCCTCAAGGAAGTTTGATTACTTTTTTCTGTTTTATTGAACTTGGAGAAATAACAGGTAAATTGGCTCGTTTACTGTCCTGCGTTATTTTCAAAAATTCAATTTTCAATCCTCTCAACTGGGTGCATTTTGACCTTCGTAGCAAATGTGGTGTGCAAATATTAATTTCGCTTTCAAAACAAAACTGTTTGCTGAATTTTTTTTGTCTACTTTGATTTTGTTGTTGTTGTTGTTTTTTACAAAAAAAGAGAGTTTATTTTACACCATACATCCCATGAAAAACCATCCATATCATTTCCAAAGACATAGCAGATATGTATTTTGTGGCCTGCTAATTGTCTGAACTGCCCCTTGGCAAGCCTTTCAGAGCTCTCAAGACTTTTGGGTTGAGCATTTAACTCTGGTTAGCTTGATTGAAACTGAACTGAACAACTAGATTATGCATCATCAATTAAATGTTTTACATAACAAGCATGATGATCATTATTGAGATATATTTATTTAAACCGAGTGTATCCACAACAATAAACATAAACAGTGCGCTCATTAAAATTAACCAGTGATTATAATAAAATGAATGTTCAGCTAAACAGTACATACTCATATGCCAACCACAGACCAGTAACATGGAATCTCTCCACACATGTTCAGAATAAAGGAATGCATGTCATGACTTCTTCATTATTTCTTAATTTTTTGGAGGGAACCATGCAAACCAACTCGAGAGCTCTGCTCTCTACTTCCAGACAGCTACTTTAGATATAAGCTATTTACTAAGATTACTTATTAAGGATTCCTGAGTATGTTAACCCTTTGACTCCCATGAGTGACCAAGACAGAATTTCTCCTTACAATATCAATAAAATATCATGCAGAAAAGTGATGAGAATAAAGAAAAATATCAATTTGGGGATAATTAGTTGATCTAATACTAAATTCTCTGAACTAACATCACAAGAATTGTATGGTTGACAGTAAGGAGAATTACAAATTTGGTCTGGGAGTTTAAGGGTTAAACCATGTTCTAAATAATTATCACTTCTCACTATTCTCTGACAGATATCAAGTAAAAAATATCCAAAATTGAAAGAGGTTGATGATGTATTAGGTGGAAAGGAAGCCTGGGAAAATGTGGACTCAACAGAAGGTATGTACCTTCCATTATTTTGTTTGAAGTTCTTGATCATGTGTTCTGATTTTCTGCATATGAGTAGTCCTTCAGAGGACTGTTCCCGGTAGCCGTGAGTAACATGTCTTGTCCAAGAGCACCTCACAGTGATCTTACCTGGGCTAGATCAGGGACTTTTTGAGCCATACCAACCATTAAATGTATTTTTTTTTAATTTAAAACAGAGCGCTGCCCCAAGTGTGAACATGACAGAGCCTACTTCATGCAGATTCAGACTCGGTCAGCAGATGAACCCATGACCACATTCTACAAATGTTGCAAATGTGGTCATCGCTGGAGGGAATAACACTGGATATAATTTTCAGAAGAAAAACTATTTTCCAAGTCTGATTAAATCAATAAGGAAAAACCATTCCACTCCCAGGGGTGACTGCAGTGTGCTCTCAGAAAAAAAAAGAATTTAGCAAGAAAGTGAGCTGACATAAAATTGATAGTATTTTGCTGACAACCACAACTGCTGTTTGTAGCTTGTCTACTCCTTAGCTCACACCCACAGAAAGAGTACCTGGTAGAGGCTAGCTCAGGGGTGACTGATAAGTGATTTCTGCTCATGTCATCAATACATTTTTAACTCTTTACACCCTAACATCGACATGCATATTCTCCATACTGTTCTCTATACATTTCTTAAGGTGCTAACAAGGAGAATTTGTTTAACAATCAAGAGCTTCTTTAGTTGGTGATCATTTCCTTTACTTTTGTGATCATAATTTGTGATTCAGGGGTAAGATTGCAAAAAAAACTTAGATCCTAGTCACTCTTAAGGGGTCAAAAAGTTAACCCTTTAACTCCTGTCAGTGACCAAGACAGAATTTCTCCTTACAACATCAATACAATATTAACCAGATAAGTGATGAGAATAAAGAAAAATATCAATTTGGGGATAAGTAGTTGATCCAATACTAAATTCTTTGAACTAACATTATAAGAACTGTATGGTTGACAGTAAGGAGAATTACAAATTTGATCTGGGAGTTAAAGGGTTGAGCAGAAAAGTGGGAAGAAGAAAGAGAAATATTGCCTGAAAGATAGCTCAGATTTTGTTGAAATTCTCATAACCAAAATTGTAAGGAATGTATGGCACATACTTGTGAGAATTTATATCGAGATCATGAGAGTAAGAGGGAAATAGTTACAAGTGTGAGGGATGGAAGAATCCTTGAGGGATCCCAGAAAGGATTAGATATCAAAAATTTCTAAGTCAATTTTAGTGATAGTTTAACTATCTAAACTATGTAGCATGAAACAGTAGTAATTCTCCTTACTGTCTGGCTTACAATTCTTATGGTGTTAGTTCGGAGAATTTGGTATTGGATCAACTGATAATCCCCTCACTGATATTTTTCTTTATTCTCATCACTTGTTTGCTTGATACGATATTGAAATTGTGAGGAGAAATTCTGTTTTGGTCAATCAAGTGAGTTAAAAAAACAGAGGGAAAAGGAAAACTTAGGACTTTTCGAACACAGCTTATTTAGTTAAAGGTATTCTGTTGATTTACGTTTTTGTTTTGAGCTGTTCTGAAAAACTTTTACGCTTTGAAAAAAACGTATTACGATAGTTAAATATTGAGAACAGCGATCTCGTCAGTTCACGGGTAAAATCGTAACAATTCTTCAACTCGAGGAAATGAACTTTATTTTCCATCGTAAGAGAGGTTTTGTTTTTTGGGAGTCTATTCCTCTTGGTACTGTTGGGAATTTAATCTACTCCTTGCTAGCTTTTGATCCATTTATCCAATCGTTGATGTCTTTTTCTTTCTGCGGCGACAAAAATCCCTTACCGCCCGCTGGAAAACACTGAATACCGTTCTGAATAAATAGACAATCTTGAAGATCTGATTGAGTTCCAAGATTCGGTTGAAATCTTGATTTTCGTGCTGATGTACGTTTGCTCCGTGCTTTATGTGCTCGAATAACCGGTGTCCGTTTGCTCACAGAAGTATGGTGACTGACAGCGCTTGCTTCCGATCCCATTAACACAGTTGGGGTTGGTACAGGCAGTGCCAAAGTATTTCTGTGACTGTACACTGTACAACCATCTTCAATATCAGCAGCTTTTTGTAATCTAAGAGTAGGCGCTGCTTGTGATGTGTTCGATTCATAACCTGTCAGAAGAATGGGCAGATGAAGCGAAGGAGGTTCATGGGTTCTGCTGATGACACTGGAGTCGCTGTGGACATGTCCTCTTTCGTTGTTCGCAACATGTTCAGCGTTGGACATCCATAGAATAGAGTTTACTTCTCTCGCATTACGATAGCTGCTTAACGGCGGTAAAGAAGAATCGATGGCCGAATCTTTTTCAAAACGGAACCAGCGATAGCCTTTGTTATAGTCATAATTCGCCATGATGTGAAGTTGATCACCATGAAAGATATTTGCCCCCAAAAAACCTTTCCAAGCATTTACTTCACAGTTATCTGCAGCTTTCAATACGAAACATCGATTGAATCGATTATGTCCAATACCAATTATAAAAATGTAAGTTCGCAGTAGAAATTTTCATGCAAAGTCACAGATGTTCGCAGCAAACATCAAATCAATTTGCGTTTATAGACAGCCTAGCTTTATGTGCCATAATTTCAATGACAAAGGAATGTGAAAAGGGAGCTTTAGGTTGTTCTTAGTTCAACTATTGAATACTGTTCGATTGTTTGTTGTGTTCATTATGTTAGAGCCCGTATTGACGTCATGCAGTGATTAAATTTGTTTGATATAAAGGGCACTTTTCGATGAATGTCTTACCAAAGTAATCACGAGGCCGATCAGGAGAAAGGAAAATACGTTTAAGAGCCAATGAAAACAAATGAAATGTCTGGAGCGCTGGAAAACACTTTGTCGTGTTTCCCAACTCGTCTCAAATCTTCCTGTAAGCGGAGAAACATACGTCCTGCAGTACAAATTACGAGGCCTGCTCGCAAGCTTAACTGACCATCCCTGCCTGACAGTAACTGTACCAACACTCTTAGATAATCATCCACCAGTGAATTAAACATTTAATAACTGATCATAAAGGGTTTATGTGTAGAATATCTAGGAAAAAAGAAGAAAGGTATAGCTGAAAAGGTCTTTTTCCAAAGATGTCTTAGCTAGTCTCCATTCCCTCTCGCAAAATAGAGAAACAAACAAACAAACAGCTATCACAAACGAGTTAAATACTCGGAGAAGCTGTTAGACACAGGCTACAACAGATTCCACGCTCCGCTCGACATTCTCTGTCCTATGGGGACTGAGATCGGGTTAGCTGGAACTTTGTTCTTTTTCGTTGCTATCTTCAATAGAGTTCTTCTTTGGAACATGTGGATACCAGAACAAAGATTTGGAACGTGCCGAGCAGATTGAAGATTGCCACATGCCCTGAACGACGTGATAAGCTAACAGCTTGAAGTGTTGGTTGACCCATCTTGCACAGTAAGGATATGGTAAGAAGGAAGCATTTTGGCACGTACGTGGCAAGGACATTTGCGTCATTCACGCTATCGGATGGTTTAATCTTTGGGATTCGAGCACAC